GGTTTTCTTCAGCTTCTCTGATGATCTTATTAGATTTTTGTTCACATTGTTCTCTGCCCCCTCCAGTCGAATGACGAAGTCCATGAGTCTGCTACTGTTTTTTTGTTATCTTGTCACTAAGCTCTTGTATTTCCCTTTGGTGTATGGACTTTAGCTCCTCCATCATTTCATCCTTTTTCTGTATTGTTTCCCTCATATCCTGTATGACTCCAAGCAGCATTCTGAAAATTTCTTTCTGTGGCAAATCAATATCTGTTTCTTCTATGCAGGTTGTTAGTTTCAGGACATCTTCTGCCATTGCCTTTTGTTTCTCCTGTTTTTTTTTCAATGAGGTGGTTTGGGCTGATTGCTATTTGCATTGCATTGTTTTAGAGGAGCCAGGTGCCATTTTCCATGAAGTCAAGGAGCACTGGCCCTTTCTGGGAAACTCGTAGGAATGCTTCTTTGAACTGCCTGCAGCTAATTTCACTATAGAATTGGCCTCCCACGTCTCCCTCCTGTGGCTTAACTCTTTCCATAGTCAACCAGTATTCTGTTATTTGGAGGGAAGTTGGATGGTACTCTCAGGGGACACTGTTTGGGTTGTGTGGACCCACGAGGATGGTGCTATACTGGGTGATCTCACTAGAAGCTGTGATGGTATGGTTCGTGGCAGCTTGGGCACTGAGATGGCATATGTGTGTGTCCGCAGTCTGCAGTGGGAATCCAGAGGGCAGAATAGGAAGAGTGGCTCATGCTGATTAGTTATCAGAGTAATGCAGAATGAAATAGCCCTGTGGCTTTCAACAGGAAAATCACAAATCAGGATGTTGCCGAGTGTTGTCAAGGTTGTGGTCTATGGGGACCCCCATGCACAGAAATAGGATGGATTAGGGGAGATTTGTGAAGATGTTCAGAGAGCATCACCTACAGAGTTGTCTCTCTGGAAAATCATACCCAGGGCAGTTAGCTTTTAATTGCTGAATGATCTCTCATACCTAATGATAGTAATTGTGCAGTGAGAATCCCCTCAAGCTGTGCCCCGGGCATGTGCCTAACCTGTCGTACTCGATCTACACCTCTGGTTATCTGTGGCCTATCAGTATGGCTCCTAAAAATATGCCCTAAAGATATTCCTAACATTGGCCCTGAACCAAATGTGTATTATGTTCCTCACCACAGGATGATGCGGTGCCAAGGGAATCAAAAGCCATCATAGAGAGTGACAGCTAAAATGGGGTGAATAACAGGGATTATTGTGAACATTAGAATGGACTAGGACCATATATATATGTCTTTAAAAATATATAAGGTTGAATGAAACCATGGGAGGTATTAAATGAAGTTACTAACATAATGCTTCATTTAAAAGAAAATACACAAATGCACTCTTTAACATAATTATAGACAGTATGCTCATGAGAATCGTTGTTCATGGGGCAAGAAAGATGTAGGAGAGAACATGGTATAAAAGAAGATCCATTAATCCCATTTTTAGAAATTAACACTCCAGGACTTGTGCAGATGATAATGTTTCATGAACTGAAGACTATGACTAACCAGTTGACTCATCTCTGTACCTGAGATTGCAACAAAATGAAGTCTTCTTTGCCAATATCTTAAGTTACAGTACATTAGGGACTGCAAAATTTTCATTGGAAATTTCTATTATACTTTAATCCAGTTTTCCACCATCTTTTTGAAGACCCATCACCATGGTCTTCATATATCCCAAGGATGACAATTTCGAGAACTGTAAGGCAAGTTTCTGCCTATCCTGTATTCCAACAGCGGTTATTCATTAGCACTGAGAGCACACATATCATAAAGTGAATCTCATGACCCCTTCCTCAAGAAGCTCCATCTAATGGGCGAGGAACACACTAACACTCTGACCTTCCCAGCATGGAAGCTGGAGTCTCCCTTTTCTAAGAAATGGGAAATGAAGACAGCTTTGATTTTGAGAGTTAATTTAGTATTAAACCATTTTACGTAGACATTTTAGCATTCTCTAAAACAAACTCTGCCATGGAGTCAATGCTGACTCAAAGCAACCCCCTGTGGGTTCCTGAGACTGTAACTGTTTAGAGGAGTAGAAAGGCCTGTCTTGCTCCCTAGGAGCTGCTGATGATATCAAACCACCAACTATCTGGATTACAGCCCAACGTGTAACCACTATGCCACTAGGGATCCTAGCTTTTTAGCACAGTTACGATATTTATGTTGCTAATTTATAGAACTCAAGTTTTTCCAGTGAAAGAAAATATGTATTAAGAATGTAGATAAATCTAAGCATTGACCTACACAAAAAACACATGCAGGGGATGTGGGGAGGGAGTGGAAGGAAATGGGGAGCTGATACCAAGGGCTCGGGTCGAGGGCAAATGTTTTGAGAATGATGATGGCAACAAATGTATAAATGTGCTCGACACAATGGATGTATGTATGGATTGTGATAAGTGTTGTAGGAGCCCCCAATAAAATGATTTGAAAAAAAAAACAAACCATGTAGGTCTTTCCCTACATTGATGTGTTCACCTGTAGGAAAGTACATTTTCCTTTATACAGAGGTCTGGATGTTTCCTCCCTACCATTGCGAGAAAACCGGAGGGTTGGGTTGTAGATGGAAGTGCAGACAGCAGTTTCTTTGAAGCAGGGTAAAAATGCAACTTGACTAAAGGAAAACGGTTTCTGCGGGTCAAATGGCCCATATAATTTATTTAAACAATAAATAATAGGGACTGAAAAGGATAGGAGAAATGTATAGATTTAAAGAAACTTAAAAGGAATATGATGTTTGGCGGAAAAGAGAACACAATGAAAGTTAGTCCTGGGATGCATACTCGGATGATGGACCATAAAGAAAGGCCAGGAGAGCATTAGAAAGGCCAGGGAGGTGGTTGATATTTGAAGCAAGGAGGTTAGGACAAGACCCACGAGAAGCACTTCTGGAGTTGCTGGAAGAAGTGTATTTTCTACTAAATAGAGTCAACAGGGGTTGTCTTAGAATAATTTCTTAAAGTAACATATTTATTTCCTGTGTGTTTCTGGCTGTATGTTTTATTTTAAAACATAGAACAAAGTAAAACAATAGTATTTTTAGTTGAAGTTATTTTGTGAACAAGAGTTGAAGAGAGGATATCCATTTGGGAACATGCTCTTGCAGCAGTGCATGATTTACATATAAGAGGAGAGAAAGTGGTTACTTTCACTAGGGTTTATGCAGTGGAGATGGATGTCAAAAAAGTGATTAGGTCAATCCTGCATTTTGTCAAAAAAGCCAATGGAATCTATTGATGGGTTGGAATTGAAAAAATGAGTCAAGAATGAGCAAGTGTATGACATTTTATTCAAAGAATGAGGGAGGTTGGGGGCAGGGGGAGAGAAGCAGGATAGCTTTGACCCAAGTAAATACACCTGATAACTCTGTTTTAGCATAGTTAAGAATGATTTTCCATTATGTAGGCAAAAATGTTGAGCACGAAATGGGAGGTATATATTTGGAGCTATGAAAAACTGCCTGGATTGGAAAAGACAGAGGAGGAGAAAGAGGGAGATGAAGACTAAAGTAGAAGGAAGAGAAGAGTGGGAGGGAGGGATGGAGATGGAGGAAAGGATGAAGGAGAGGAAGAGGAGGAGGAGGAGAAGAAGAAGAAAAGTGTAAAGGGGAGGGGGAAAGATGAGGATGAGAAGAGGAGAAGGAGGAGGAAGGGGAGGGGGGTGAGGGAGAAGATATAGCAGAGGAACCACCTCAGCATATATGGCTTTTAAAGCCAGGGAACCAGGCAATATTGACCATGGAGCTAAAGGCCAGAGGTCCGCTATAGCCAAGTAGTAAGAGTTAATTGTGTATAATGATATGAAATTGATGTGTTGCTTTGCTGTATAATTGTCCTAAATCTTCTGAGAAGAATAATTCTAAATACAATTCTATTCTAAGTAGAATCAACGTAGTTTTATACCTACTGTATGCCATCCCTTCTACTCAACCTTTCCCATAGATTTTTCTACAGTCCTCAAAATAAACACACATACTCAGCACGATGCCTTTTAGCTTAGCTGAAATGACTTGAGGTCAGAGACATTAAGTAGAATTTTGGAAACCACATTGTTAGTGAAAGGTGGTATCAAGGCTCGGGTGAAGCATGGTGAGCCTCCCTCGGAAGCCTTTCATGCTGCCTGTATTGCGCCTTTTGAACAAAAGGGAAAAACCAAGTCTAGGAGGACAGTCTGCCAGGCAGACCTGCGTTCAACCATTTGAAGGATTTGTTTTATCCACATGTATATCAGGGTACCACCACCCATCTGTCAGTCTGTTATAAGTTTCAATGATACATGAAGCTATGCCACTGGTACTTCAAACCCAAGAAGGGTCACCAATGGTGGACAGGTTTCAGTAACACTTCTAGACTAAGGCAGAGGAGGGATAAAGGCTTGATAACATGTTTCTGAACATTAACCAATGACACTATGGATTATAAGAGTATTGCCTGCTGCAATGCAGGAAGATAAGTCCCTCTGGTTGGAAGGTATTCAAGAAGCACAGGGTGCAGCAATGGTCTTGAGCAAACCGATGACTGTGAAACGTCCAGCACTGGGTAGCATCCCATTCTGTGGTTCATGGGCAGCGATACATGAACGGGCTTGTAATATGGAAAGCCAGTGTACAGAAATGTGTTCCACGGTTCTACCTTGAGAGCAATCTGAAGAGAGTGAGCACAGCAGTCATCGCCTCGTCTGGGCTGTCTTATTTTTTGTACACCTGCAGAAAGGGTGGGATTTTGGATGATTTATCTCTCTTCTCTAATTTTTCCCAACACCCTTCTTAGGGCACCCATCACCTCCTTGTTCCTCAAGCTATAGATCAACGGGTTCAGCATAGGGGTCACCACAGCATAGAAGAGGGCTACCATTTTTTCCTGTTCAGCTGAAGAGCCAGCCTCAGGCCTCATATAGGTGAAGAAGGCTGTCCCGAAGCACATGGAGACCACAGTGAGGTGGGAGGCACAAGTCCCGAATGCTTTTTGGCGTCCCTGTGCTGAGCGGATTCGCAGAATGGCAGCCACTATGCGGCCATAGGAGAATAACACCAGGAAGCAGGGAAGCATGATGACCAGGAAGCCAGAGACGGCCACCATGACCTTGTTGAAGGAGATGTCCACACAGGTCAGCCTTAGCACAGCCAACATCTCGCAGGCAAAATGATTGATGACATTATGGCACAAGGGCAACTTGAAGATGCTGATGGTCTGCATCAGTGAGTTTGCAAATCCAGCTGCCAGGCAGCCAACAGCCAGCCCCAGGCACAGCCCTCCATGCATGATGACCATGTAGTGCAGAGGGTAACACACGGCCACATAGCGGTCATAGGCCATGGCTCCCAGCAGGAAGAACTCCGTGCTACCCATGGACAGGGAGACATAAAACTGGAGCACGCAGCTATGGAAAGGGATGGACTTGCAGGCTGACAGGAAGTGCACCAGCATCTGAGGGACTGTGCTATTGGTGTAGCAGATGTCCACGAAGGACAGGACACTGAGGAAGAAGTACATGGGAGTGTGGAGCTTGCTGTCAAGTCTGATGAGGAGGATGATGAGGGAGTTCCCGACCACAGTTACCAAGTACATGGTCAGGAAAAGGACAAAGAGGGACACCTGAGTCCCCCAGTCACTGGACAGTCCCAGCAAGAAGAACTCACTGATCCATGTCTGGTTCTTCCCACCCATGAACCAAAGCAAAGTCACAAAAATCTCCAGAAGGTCAGGGAGGCAGAGTAAGTCACCAAGTCATTTAAACCCCAGAACCAATTTTAACATTTTAAAGCGAATTTACGATTAAATCCAAGTCGAGACACGTGCCATGAGGTCTGTAGCTCATAGGTTCTTTCCTCCAAGATTCTGGAACCCAACAGAGCACGTTGATGAGACCCACCCTGGGGGGAATCTTTCTTCCTCAGGTGAGCGGGGTTCTGTAGAGATGTCAGACAATAGAATTAAAAGTTGGTCATAAAAATTGGTTTTCTTCTTTGGACCAAATGTCTAACCCTGGGGTTAGTTCACTTCTTTATTGAATTCCCTCCTTACTATGTCAGAATCCCCACTGAAGACCTAAAAGAGAAGAAAAATTATTTTACATGTTCCTTTTAAAGTCTTGTTTTTCTAGCTATAAAACAGGATACTCCATTTCCAGGTGCTTGTAATGAGAAATTTGGCGTTTCGGCTGAGAAGGAGCAACTATCACATGCATCTCAAGTGGCAAAATACTGTCAAGAATCTCAATTTCAGATGCAGCAAGTGAAAGAATGAAGACCATTCTCAGGCTTGAGAAGTCCCGCCGTGCTGGGTCCAAGCAGGTGATCGGCTGAGAGGAAGGATTGCAGCTCCATGTGGCTCCTTCAGCGCCTAGAATCAGGACAGAGACCTTGAACAGCAGACATCACTGTCAAGGAGCAGATCAAGGTCAACGACGCACCAAGCAGTTTGCTCACAAGTGACAAGAGCTCAAGCACCTGCTGCCAACTTAGCCTTAAACAAAGAGAGAGTGGCACTTGGCTGCACAGTCCCACCCATTTTCTGCATTTGCCTGCCAGGTGGGGAGCCAGGGTCTTGAGACTGGGGTGTGATGGAAGCCTAACGACCTGGGATGAAATGGAAGAACTCTCACCCCACCTGAAATAGAGGCCAGTGCCTCCTTCGGAATCCCGACCTCCCCTTGTACGGTGCCTCCTCTTCCCAGACCCACTTGCCAGAAGGCAATGGTCTGGACTGCTGGCTCCTGGCCCCAAGCTTTCACATCCTGTAGGTGCCCAGGCTGTTGTTGTTGTTGTTGGGTGCCCTTGAGTCGGTTCCGACCCATAGCAACCCTATGCACAGCCGAAGGAATCACTGCCTGGTGCTGCTCCTTCCTCACAATCCTTCCTATGCCGGAGCCCTTTGTTGCAGCCCATGTCAGCCCATCTTGCTGAGGGCCTTCCTCCTGCTTGATGCCAGGGCTCTAGAGCTCGGAAACTGGTCTTTGGACCTCTTAGTAGCCTTGTGTCTGCACGTGATTCAAATCACAAACAGTGTGATCTGCAGAAAGCCTACTCTCTGTGTCTTTATGTTTGGTCTCCCTCTGATTACTCTGCCCTCTGGGCACAGAAATAAAACCCATGCTCACCTGTCCCAACCAGGTGTGATCTGCTTGGAGCTCTTGAGGAGAAGGTGCCCTTGAGTGTGGGAATGGAACCATTCTTGACCTTAGGATGTCCATGACGATGAGGACAGCTTACTGCACATGCATAGGGTGTGGACACTCAGATTCACCAGCCGGCAATGAGTCTATGGCTGCTTTCAAATGGTAATGTTCCCTCCTAAATGCAGAAATTCAGCGTGAAAAACCACTCTTATTACAAACAGTAATTGGTGTTACTTACAGAAAGGGAGAGGCAATAAGCAAAGTATGAAATGTTCTTCAGTTCTTGGAATTTAGGCTAGACTTTCAGGAGCTTAGCAAGTCCCTTTGTAATCTTTCAGAGACAGAGAAAGCCCCCTTTTAATCGTTAATTGAAAAAGGAAACGTGAAGTCTGAAAGCACCGGTGCCACACCCTCCAGTATAAAAAAGAACCCATGTGCCTTGAAGGGGAGAGTCAGTGTCTGGGCCCTCGCTGGACGCTGACCACAGACAAGCCCACAGTCCGTGCTGGGACGGAGGCGGGGTGGTCTCCAGTCTTGCTCTTACTTATGAATCACCTCAGGCAGAAGCACCTCAGCAGCAGGGACTGAGGAAACGAGCAGTGCGGGGGATGCCTGGTGATGACGGACTGCAGTCTTAATACCAAATAAAGAGACTTGCCGTTGAAAAGTCTGTCTGGAGAATGCGACACTCTGCGGTTCTGAATCTCTCATTTATGAAAAATGTAAACCAACAAGCTAAGGCTTTGACCAAAACAAACTTTCATAACCTTGATGTCTGGTCAGTAAGAGCCCTTAGGGGCCCTCTCACTCACTGCCATTGAGTCAATGCAGACTCATAGCGACCCCCTGAGCGTGTCTGAGACAGGAACGGATTATGGGAGTAGAAAGTCCAGTCTTTCTCCTGTGGAGCTGCTGGGGGCTTCAAACTGCCCACCATGTAAATAGCAGCCCAGAACGAAACACCTTTGGCTAGCCTTCCATGCTATATTGTCTTGTTCATCTTTTTGGGGTACCCTTCTCTGGGAGGGAAAGCATGGTAATGCCAATACGTTATCAATTCCCAGTTTTTCTCCCATTAAAGGTGTCCATGGGACCATGGGTTTATGTATCGCCCCACTTCCTACAGGGAAGGGAAGAGGAGAATGGAACAGGGATAGAAGAGTAGTAGAAAAAGGATAGTACCAAATAAAAAGGGGGAGTAAACAAGAATATACCAAAAAAGTTTATTTTTTTAAGTAAGTGATATATAAATATAAAATAAATCTGAAGACTTTGGTTAGCTCAAAATAAAAGAAGTTCACCCCTGATAACAGAGAACTTAAGAAAAATCATGTTATTTCTACATAAGTACTTAGGTATCGTGCAAACACATCCTTGGGCATAGGGGAAGCATAGAGGGGGAGAGTTAGGAAAGCTTCCTAGATATGAGCAAACACCTAGAGGGAGAGAGAAATGGGCTTGAGGATTTAGGACTACAGACTCAGGGGAAATCTAGGTCAACAGTCATAACATTCCCCAATAATGCTCTACCTTCTACTTCGCCAAGTAGCGACTTGGTCTCACAAGCTTCCAAAGGACCATCTGAGATGCAATTATTGGTCCTCTCTCATCCAGAGCAAAGAACAATGAAGAAAATCAAAGACTCAAGG